CTCTCTCTCTCTCTCTCTCTCTGGTTTTCTTACACTCTCGCTCTCGCTCTCCCACCCTCCCTATCTCTCTCCTTCTCTCCCACTATGCACATACTAATCTATCCCCATCTCTATCTCACAAATCTTTCTCGTTTGTCCGAGCACATATCTAGATCAAGGCAATAATTAACTCGTAGAAGTGCTACACTATGTCACACAGCTCAGTTATCAGCCTATCGAGTGGCCTATTGAGTCCGATCTATTTGGCAAACAGGCTACTATTATTGCTATTACTTTGTTCCCACCTCACACGCTGTAAACTGTAATGTAAAGTGTGGTTGTACTGGTGATGGTAACAGATGGGCCGGCTAGGGTACTGGTGACCGTTTGTAGTAGGCCGAATTGTCGTCTTTGAAGAGAGGAGAAAAGCACTATTTTTTTTTTTCGTTGCTTTGTTTGTACATATCTATTTTTCTTACAGGGGATTGATGGAAAGGACGATATGGGGTAATATGTAAAACGAATGAGAGAAAGGGAAGAGTGAGAGAGGGGGGAGGGGGCAGTGAGAGAGAGGGGGAGAGGGAGTGAGGGAGTGAGAGAGATGACTAGAGAGAGAAATGGGGAGAAAAGGACAGGTGCTTCTTTTATGTAGACAGATTAAATAGACGTGAAGTCATAGGGAAGTTCATGACTTTGAAAAATTGGAAGTCAAAACAGGCGGAGTACAAAAGTGGAATGGCCTTTTGTATACTAAAAATTAAACTAAATTAAAAGCTTCTTCTTGCACGACGCCACGTCAACCCTCATGTATCCACACACACAGTAAAAAAAAAAACCGGGTGTAAAAGGTCAAGTAAGTCCCGAATGAAAGACTCAGGTTTACTTTTACTCCCTTTACTCAAATTCAAAAGTAGGTGGTTGGCGGCTGCTGCTCTGGTATGGTTTGCTCCTATCAAACACCTATCGTCCTCATCTCAACTCCGTTGGGTTTTTTTTTGGTGTTTTTTTTTTGTTACAATCTTACAACACCTCTAGGCTCTTATCTTCGACACTTGAATGACTTTGTGTGTTACAAATGCCGTAAACTGAAGGTGGCGACTGATGGATCCGCCTTAGTAAAGTTGCCGTTTGTGGTGGTTGTTGTTGTTGTTGTTGAACTTTTACAAACAAAATAAAAGAAGAAACAAACAAAAACTGTTACTCAAACAAAACAAAAAAACGAACAAATCAAACTCAAGACGAGTCAGAAGCGCTGTACAACTCACCCGCTGCTGTTCCTTCTCTTGCCTAGAAAAGTTCCAATAGATAACAGTAACGTCATGGCGACAGATGCAGAACACAACTCGCGGCTATCGGAGAACCTTTCTAAACTCACGATCGAGGATTCTAATTCGAATCAGGACTCACAAAGTGAGAAATAGATTGATATTATAAACAATTGGCTTGATCTTGTTCTAAAAAACAGTGCAACTATTCGATTTATCTTGTTTAAAAAAACAACAGTATAACTATTCGGTTTATCTTGTTTTGAAAATAGAGCCACGGCCACGTTTATTACTCTTTGTATCATGCGTCGAGTGCTCTCTCTCTCTCTCTCTACAAATGATAGTCTTTTATGGGTGATCGATTAAATCAGAAACTGCACATGTATGTCAGCACTGCACTGGGATAAGTAGATCGTTAGAGCATCCACGTACGTCGCTAGTACACCTGCTTTTAAACTGTAGCTATAATAACGGAGATTATCGTCATCATCATCATCATCATCAATTCATCATCATCATCGTCGTCGTCGTCGTGGTCGCGGTCTGTTTTCTTCAGAAGGTGTTACGTTTCTCGCGGTGTCAAACAGATGATAGTTGATTGCGTACCCTACAGGCGGTGGGTGTCGGAATGCAGGAAGCGAGCGGGACACGGGGCCTTTTTATAGGAGCTCTTTCTGTGGGGCCCGGACAATGCACGGGTGGGATTAGGGGGGTGGAAAGGTGGTGGGGAGGGTGCGCAAGGTAGAAGAAGGGTGGGGGTGGGTGGTGGGGCATAATTTGAGAAGTCGGGCTGATGTGTGTGTGTGTGTGTGTGTGTGTGTGTGTGTGTGTGTGTGTGTGTGTGTGTGTGTGTGTGTGTGAGC